TTTTGATTTAAGTCTTGTTTAACAATTGTTGATTGCTTGACGATGATTATCAATATTGGATTGTCTAAATGAAGTGATTGAATGAGATAAACACTTACCTGTGAGAATTAGAGATGAGTATATATAACTTTATTTGAGAGATCATGCTTCTCTGAGGATAGTTGAGAACTAATTATTCTTTGTTGGTTTCTATAACTTGAATGCTTATGTGTTCTATTTTCATTTGGAGTTGTGAGCATCACCTCTGAAAATTTTTATGTGTGGTTCTGGAAGAGAAAGTGATAATAGGTGATGGTTTTGTTTTGGAAAAATTACTTTGCATGGGACAAGCAAGATTCTAGGTTGGGGGGAGTTGTTAAGTTGTAAAAAGTTGATATAATTATGCCTTCAACTGTTATGAAACCACTTAACTTATGTTAATTCTAATATATTTTTCTCCCAATATAGGATGAATTCGAGAATACCTTGATACAAGAGTAAGGAGCACAATTGTTAGTATAATTAGAGTAAAATTAAAATAAAGAAGAACCCTTAAGCGAATGAAAGATGCGAGGCCCGGCCCAAATTCTCTTATAAAAAGATAAGTTGTGTTTTGAGAAAAGCAAGCAGTCTTGGAGAGGAGGAGGCACGACTAATATTAGGGTTTTGTCTAATCTTCATCAATTCTTCACTTCTTCATCAATTAGAGCATTGTAATGGCCAACATGAGTGGCTAACTTCATTCTCTTAGGATTCGGTGCACTTCCTTTGAACTCTTTTGTATATGGTGATATTTTGAGATATTAATCTAAGCTTTGATGTTGTTATTCTTATCCTTTATGCTTTGGAATGATTTATTCTTGATTGTTTGAAGTATGATTAGAAAATATATCTTGAACCCTAGATCACGGTAAGAATATTTGTTACGTTAATTGTCAGGAATGGAATGAATGTATCAATTGCTTAAACACCCTAAACCTAATGCTGAAAAATCTCTTAATTGTGTGAGGAATCAACATGGATCATTTGAGTAGGTGGCATCAACATTGTTAGGTTAATTGACGTTCTTAATTGACATAGTCATTACAAAAGAGGGATAAGGAAGGAAGCCAATCCTAAGTACCTTTAATTGATATTTTCTCAACAATTTACAGTTCTTTGTCATTTAATTTCAATTCAACTCTTATTTGCAAAACTCAATCTGTTTAATCTACTTAGTAAGCATAAATGGGAATTTCCATTGAAATTGTTCCTCGTAGGATCGACTTTTATTTAATTGAAATACTATACTGCGATTGCAAATTTTGGTACGCTTGCCAATAATTCAACATAGTCACGCCTCTTCTTCTCCAAAACTGCTCCCTTTCTCAAAACACATCTTATCTTATTATAAGAGAATTTGGGTCGGGTCTCACATCATTCATTCTCTTAAGCGTTTTTCTTTCTTTCAATTTTTCTTCAATTACTTCACAATTATGATATTTGCTGTTGTATCAAGGTATTCTCGAATTCATCCTATATTGGGAGAAAAATAGATTAGAATTAATATAAGTTAAGTGATTTCATAACAATTCAAAGTATAATTATATCAACTTTTTACCACTTAACACTAATCCTAAAGAATCACATTTAGTTGTTGTTAAGAGAATTTTTAAATACTTAAAAGGAACTTGATCATTTGGCCTTTGGTATCCCTCAGGAGCTTCACCTAGCATTATAGGATATTCAGATTCAGATTATGGAGGATGTAAACCAGACAGGAAAAGTACAAGTGGGACATGTCATCTACTTGGTTGTTCATTTGTTTCTTGGCATTCTAAGAAACAGGCTTGTGTTGCTCTATCCACAACTGAAGCTGAGTATATAGTTGCAGGTAGTTGTTGTGCCCAAGTTTTATGGATGAAGCAGCAGTTAGAAGATTTCAACATTTTTCTAGATCATATTCCTTTAAAATGTGATAGTACTAGTGCAATAAATCTTACTAGGAACCCTATCATTTATTATAGGACTAAGCATATAGAGATCATACATTATTTAATTAGAGATCATGTTCAAAAAGGAGATTGCATAATAGAATACATAGATACCATTCATCAGTTAGCTGATATTTTTACCAAACCATTACCTAGAGATAGGTTTTATGAGCTAAGACGGGCCTTGGGTATCCTAGATATTGCCTCCTTAATATAATATTCTTCTCTATGACATTTTGTGATGCATTATCTTCTCTGCCTTGTTTTATATGTTAATCTGTGCAAATTTGTGTTTAATTTTTATTGCAATATTTTTCATAATTATCAATGAAACAGAAAGAGATTTTGATGATATTAATCTATGTGAAACAGGGGGAGATTTTTTTTCTCTTATAATATTTTTTTTATTATCAATGAAACAGGGGAGGTTTTTTATGAATTAAAATTTGTATCAAATTCATTCCTAATTCTGAATTAAACAGGGGGAGTTAAGAGAAGTTTTTCTCAGATGAGTTAGGGGGAGCTTTGTTATTAACATATTTAGGGTGAGTTTAAATATACTGTGTTAATCTGTGCTACACTATACTGTACTAATCTTGAGCTAGCTATATAGAGTCAAGCATTTTAATTCATTTCAGGTGTTTCCTTAATCATCATCAAAAAGGGGGAGATTGAAAGTAATGAGGGGGAGATTGATGGCAATGTGAAACATGTCCTTACATTCCCAAGAGATGATTTTGATGATGATTCAAGTTAACAACATTCAAGACTCAAGCAAACCCAAGATATGATTTAATAAAGATTTAGTTCAAATATTAAGCAAGTCCAAGATGATTCCTAAAGACTAGATAGAATCTTAGAATACTGAATATGGAGGTACAAATGATGAAGTAGTATTATGCATAAGCCTCCAAAGCATAAGTGTGATAAAATTTTGTAACATATATTTTTCACTGTCATAATCAATTATGATGCATCAGAAATGGAAAAACAATTTTCTCTGTCATAATTGATTATACCTGGTAACATAATCAATTATGGCAGTTCAAATTCAAAAATATTTTTGTTTTAAAGAATAAATATTTTTTAATATATCCTGATTTTTATCCTCAAAAATATTAATATCCACAGTTATTTTCTGATGTTATTTTTCTATTTAATTAAGTTTTGATGGAAAATAAAAAATACACAATTACAAGTTCAAAAATACAATTTACATTCAATCAGTTTTGAGAAAAGATTTGTGAGCAAGGCAACAGAGATATTTTACATGTTTTGAGAAAATCTTCTTCTCCATTGTCTACTATGCTTTCATTGTTAATCACACTTGTTCTTGGAGGTTGGCATTCTACATGCTTCTACAATTTGTTGTCTCTACTACCCAGGTGTGACTGTTCTTATTTTATTATCTTTATCCTTTGTGGGCTTAAGTGATTGATTGTTAAATTTCTTGTTTAGGGTTTAAGTAGTCAATGTCATTCTGTTGTGTTTTTCTTTTGGGTTTCTTGTGTAGAAATTGTTCATCCCTTTGATTTGTTCAGGAAGGTGTTTTCATCCTTTGATTTGTTCAGAAGAGGTGTTCATCCCTAGTGGGATTCTAGGAAGGTGTTCATCCTTAGTGGGATTCTAAGGAGGTGTGTTCATCCTTTGATTTGTTTAGAAGAGGTGTTCATCCCTAGTGGGATTCTAGGGAGGTGTTCATCCTTAGTGGGTTTCTAAGGAGGTGATTGTCTTTTGAATTCGTTTGTTTTTTGTTGAGTTGATTGTAATTTGTGAACTGAATTTAAAAGATAGTGAATTGGGGTCACTCTTGTGTTAAGAGTTGATTGGGAACTGGATGTAGGGTTGGCTATACCCGAACCAGTATAAACCATTGTGTGTTTTTCTCTTTCCCTTATCTCATTTTCACTTCATTACTCTCCTTACACCCCTTATTTTTATCTCTATCTTTATTTATCTGGTTGATATTTTATCTCTTTCATTATATTGTTTCCATTTTATCTTTGTTCAATTTGATAATTAAAATTGAATTAATAAATATTGGACATCTTAAAATAAACTTTTAATTTGGCATTTATTTAATTTGTGCATTTATTCACCCTACTCTAGATGTCATTTGTCTAACACGTATGCTTGAAATTATTTTAAATTTGGATAATTATGTAATTTCTATTATAATCAAGTCAAAAGTAGATATGCATCCAAAGTCAAAAGTACATTTGAAGCATACGTGTAATTTCTATTATAATTAAGTCAAAAGTTGGATAATTATGTAATTTCTATTATAATTACAATATATGTTTACAATATGGATTTAAAATATATATATTTTTAAATATTTTATTATAATCAAGTCAAAAGTACATTTGAAGTGATTATTATAATTTTATAGCAACCAAATTAGATGTGCATCCAAAGTGGCTAAACTTTTTATGAAATATTTTCTTACTACTCCAATAATAATAGTATTCCATTTTTAATAACACTAAAGAAAAGAAAGTGATAATTATTGACATTTAATTGTTAATATACTAATAATGATATACTAATTTAAATTATTAAAAAAATAAAATCATTTTTATTTGAAATTTGGATAAAATAATGATAATACATTTTTTTCTCATTATTATTTATAACTTGTTTTTTTTTATATTGTCTAGTTTAACGAAATAAAATAAAAGAAAGAAAAACATTAATCCCAATTCTTTCAGACTTGTTTTAATATTTGAAAACTTATTTTTACTATTTTCTGCCTCCAAACCCAAACTATTATTTTTTTTATTTGGCCCAAAAATCTCCTACCAAGTTGTTGGGCCTAAGATTGATTTGTTTCATTATCAGAGGTCAATTTTTGTTATTCTTACCTCTAGACACATTTGAGTCGTAACTCTCTTAAGCACAAGTTTTCTTATTGAGCGTGTGCTTTTGTTTAACCTAGCTAGACCTAAAACCTAATCTTGAGGAAAAAATGAGGGGAGAAGGGCATCACGCAGCGAAAGTTTCACAATTAAATGGGAAGCTGAGATTGAAGAGCAAAAATGATGGGTGATGGTTCGCGGAGGCGCGCTGTGGTCGGTGCGCTCTAGACTCGTGGTGACCCACGGTGAATGGCTGGGCGGCGAAAAACGCAAAAATGGTTAGTTAATGGTGAAACTAAAAGAGATGGATTAGTAGAGGTCACGACTATAATAGTGGTGCGGTTATCCCGTAGTGATGGGGAGTGACCGGCGATGAGTCACAATAGTGGCTAGAGAAAAAGTGGAAAATAAGGGTTTGGTGCGTGATGGGTTTGAGGGCACAACATTAGTAAGGGTGAGGGAGGAGGGTTTTGCTGCCAAAAAAAGGGGATGGATGAGGTGGGGAGCGTGGAGATTAAGGTCGCAACTGGGTTATGGTGGTCGTTGGTGGTATGGTGGGCTTACAGTGGTGGCCACTAATGGGGCGGTGGAACTCGTTGTGGTAATCGCTGGTCATAATGGTAAATGAGTTTTTTTTGTGTTTTTATAATTTTTAATATGTATAATACAAATACTTCAGCTATAAATACAAATAGTACAAAGTGGATTAAGAACAATGGATTTAAGATGTTAATTGTCCCTTTTTTTTATGTTCTTCTTTTCATCTGAAAACCAAAAGCCCCTTTTGTTGACGTCTCCCTCTCAATTGTCTTTTGCTTTCCTTTTTGGTTGAATCTATTGCTTTCCTTTTTGGTTGAATGTGTTCTTTTCTTTTTCTTTTTTTTGGTTTACAATCCTTATGAGAAGAAAGGATGAAAGTTGTATGATTTGGAGACTCAGTTATTTTATGTCAAGTGATGTTGAATTTTTTGAAAAAAAAAATTCTTTTGCACAACCCACTAGTAATGAGTTTGTTCCTAGTGCAATGATGTTTGTCTTTAATATTAAAGATGATAGTATTGAAAATTATGTTATTGATTATGGATTTGCAAAAGGTGAGACAATACATGAGACAAGGAAGGAAGAAAAATTAGAAAATAAACTTTCTTCCCAAAATGAGTCAGAAAGTGATGAAAATCTTGGATGGGAAAAATGACTCAAAATCCCCCTTGTGAAATTTCGAGAGTATGTGACTAATATAGTTAAAGTAAAAAGTTCATCTAATTATTCTTCCACTCCATAGCATAATTCAAGTGAGCCCTATACCATAACACATTATGTGAGTTGTCATAAATTTTCTTCGAAGTATCGCAGGTTCCTTGCGACAATAACTACCAAGAGAGAACAACCAAGCTAATAACAGGCAGCAAAAGATGGTAGATGACGCTCAACCATGAGACAAGAAATATAAGCACTTGAAGATAATAGAACGTGAACAATGTGTCGTTTACCAAAAATATAAGAAGGCATTAGGATGAAAATGGGTATATAATATTAAGTACAATTCAAATTCAAATGGAACTATAGGTCGTTTTAAATCTTGATTAGTCATACTTGAAAATCATCAAGTTTAAGGAGTTGATTACACATAAACATTTTCTCCAGTGGCAAAAATGGTTACCGTTCGAATATTATTAGGAGTTACTGCACTAAAAATTTAGGAACTTCATCAAATGGATATTCACAATGCTTTCTTACATGGAGATCTTGAAGAAGAAATGTACATGAAGTTGCTCCCAGGTTTTTGCTCTCAAAGTTCAAACCAAGTGTGTCGTCTTCAAAAGTCCCTATACAGATTAAAACAAGTCCCTAGATGTTAGTATGCTAAATTGACCAGTGCCATGAAACAATATAGATTTAAACAATCTCTTTCTGATTAATCATTATTTACTCTACAAAATGGTTCATTGCAACTTAACATCTTAGTTTATGTTAATGATCTAATCATACGTGGAAACAATCATGAAGTTATCCAATGTTTCAAAGATTACTTGAGCAAATATTTTCAATGAAATATTTGTGAAAGTGGAAATATTTCTTAGGAGTAGAAGTGGTTAGATCACTTGTTAGCATTTTCTTATATAAAAAAATATATGTTTTAAAAAAATCATCATTTTGGTCTTGTTAAAGGTAAATTTCTTTCTAATCCTGATCAATTTTGACATTTGGTTGGTCGGTTGATTTATTTGTGCTTTACTCAACCTGAATTGGCATATTGTGGGCATGTTCTTTCACAATTTATCCAATAGTCACACAAGGAACATGGGAAGCTGTTATTCGTATTGTTCAATATTTGAAAGGAACTTTTAGACAAGATATTATCTTAAATAGTTCTAGCGATATGAAACTTTATAGATGATGTGATGCAAATTGGGAAGCATGCTCTCTTAATTGTAAATCTCTTATAGGTTACGTTATTTTCTTGGGTAATTCCCATATTTCTTGGAAGACAAAGAAACAGCATATAGTATCACGTTCCTCGACTGAAGCAGAATATCGTTCAATGACTACTATCATATGTGAACTAAAGTGGGTTAAAAAACATTCTCTTTAACCTTGGTATTTCTTATTCCATGCTCACGTGTCTCTCGTTGTGATAGTCAAGTTACTTTACACATGGCTAAGATGTTGGAAAATTAATAATAATAATAATAATAATAATAATAATAATAATAATAATAATCCTAATTTTGATTCTAACCATCAAACATAAACATAATCTCATACTGATAAACATGTTGTAAACTGAATGCGAAAGCGTACCTGAATTAGTCATAATGATGATGTCTTTGTAGAGCACTATATTGATCTTATGGTCTTCCACCTGAAGAGCACCTGTATTTCCCTCTTGATTTTCTCTCTCGATGGGGATAGAAAGAAAGGAACGGGACTGATACTTACGTTCTATGTGTGTGCTCCCAGAAGGGGACCATGACTCTTTAGATAACCAGAATTAGGTTAATTACTTAAGTTTTAGTATTTTCAATTTGGCCCCTCATCAAATTAGAAATTGCTCAATGGTCTCTACACAATTTTATTTTCATGACATATGTTTTTAGCCAAAACTTTAATTTAGTCAGATCACTTTATTATTTGGCTTAATAAATAATGGCCCTAACACATTTAAATTATGTATCATATATATACATGACCCAAATTTTTCCAACAATCTCCCACTGGTCACAAATATATATGTCCTTACAACCTTACAAATTTGTTAGACTTTATGAGCTCAAAATTGCCATTATATTCCTTTAGCATACTCCAAAAGTCCTGTCCATTAATCATATCAGGATATAGAACCAAACCAGTTTTTCATTGCATCATCGCAATTAAAACCAACAATGATTACTCGTCCTAACATAACCAAATGACATGGATTCAACATGAAATGTATAGCATGAAAAATTACGTGAAGGTGATTTGTACACGTCTATTTTCAACTGGTCCAAACTTTAATTTATCAAGATCGATATAATATCCTTAATGTACAAAGTGTAATGAATGAACGAAAAAACCGCATATCTATAGATAACCAAATATGTCCAAAAATCAATGTATACATATATGAAATTAAGCATAGAACATAAAATATATGAAAGTGACTAACTCCCACTAAACCACAAATTCCTCAAACTGTAAAACACCGATGTGAGCAACATGCTCATGAAAGACCTTGGGCGGAAGTCCTTTAGTTAGAGGATATGCTATCATGGAGTTTGCCCTTAAGTGTTCTATAGAAATCTGTCCACTTTGTACTCTTTCCTTAACAATACAGCTGATTTATTGTCACAATATAACTTAAGTGGTATTTTAATGCCTTTCACAATTTGCAGCCCTGTGACAAAATTTCTCAGTCATATTCCATGATTTGATGTCTCATAGCATGTTACAAATTCTTGACATCCTACAAAATCTGAGTCAGAAAACCCAACGATCTCCAACTGGTCTGACCTCCTATATGTGAGCATATAATCTTTTGTTCTCTTTAAATATCTTATGACCCTTTTTGCTGCTTTTCAATGGTCTATTCCTGGATTGCTTAAATATCTGCCTAGAACCCCAATTATGTATGCTATGTCTGGACGCGTACATACTTGGGCATACATCAAACTCCCTACAACTGATGCATAGGGAATCTTTTGCATTTCCTCAATTTCCAAATTCCCCTTTGGGCACTGATTGAGACTAAACTTGTCTCCCTTTAAACTTGTGATACACACAATCATCAACAATATTCATCTTGAAGCCAAATGAGTTTCATACCTTCTGGTAATGGGACAAGTTCCCAAACCTTATTGTCTTGCATGGACTTATACTTCTCCTTCATTGCTTCAATCCACTTTTGAGAGTTAGAACCTTGTATAGCTTGACGGAAGTTAACTGGGTCATCTTCCATTATATCATTATTTTCCTCATGTTCCAGAAGAAATATCATGTAATCATCTGAAATAGCACTTCTTCTTTCTCTAGTGGATCTCTGCAAAGTTATTAGCTCATGATGCACAGGTTCTTGAGGATCTTGAGTTTGTTCTTCATGAATAACCAAATCATCTTGAGTAAGGGGTTCATCAACAATGCTTTGTGGAGGTTCCGAACTTACTTTATCAAAAGTAACTATTTGAATCGGTTCTAAAATTGTTACCGATTCTTCCTCCAAGATGAAGTTCTTAATCTTATTCTTCCCCCCAAACTCAATATCCTCAAAGAACGTAGCAGTTCCCGTCTCAAAAATTATTTTTAATGTGTGATCATAAAATTTATATCCCCTGGATCTTTCAGCATAACCAATAAAATAACTACTTACTGTTCGGGAGTCCAATTTCTTTTCATTTAGCTTATAAGGTCTTGCCTCAGCTGGACAATCCCACATATGGAAATGCTTCAGACTAAGTTTTCGCTCAATCCAAAGCTCATAAGATGTTTTGGTAGCTGCTTTAGTTGGTACTCTGTTTAGAATATAAGTTGTCGTATTTAGTGTCTCTCCCCAAAGTGATTCCGGTAAGGTGGAATGACAAATCATACTCTTTACCATATCTTTAAGAGTGTAACACAAGTTCAAACGTCACGATTCGATTGTGACCTAAGCACTTATGCCATAATGCACCTGAGTGAGTATTTTCAATTTTACGTTTAGTACCACGTGATTTTGTATTAAGGGTTTCATTATAGGTGGTCACAATATCAAGTAAATACTGATTATCATAAATCAAAAGTGAACCAGTTCCAACAATATCTGAATTAAAAGACAAACTGAACTTATTGTTTCTAAATAAACACAAATAACCTAATTTGTCCAAATAAGAAACTGAAACCAAATTTCGTCTAAATGACGGCATAACAAAAGTATCTTTCAAATCCAAATAAAAAATCAGTACTCAATAACAATTTAAAATGCCATATAGCTTCCACCTCTACCAATTTTCCATCTCCAACATAAATCCATCTTTCAGAATCAATTGGCTTCTGGTAGTTTAGGCAACCTTTTCTTTTCACGCCAAGCATGATATTTAGCACATTTCTTCTTTACGTGTCCAGTCTTATTGCAAAAGAAACATTTGTTTTCTTGAGTTTGTTTCTT